GCTCTTTTCATCATTCAGAGGAAGGTGCCAGTCCAACGACCACTGCTTGGCAGCGTCTACATCCATTTGGAGGGCACTGGCACTGGTACTCCAGGATTTCTAGTCGTCCGCAAAAAGTAAACATGGACTCGCAAGAACGTCTGGGAGGTCGTTGACCTAGATCAGAAACAGGAGTGTTCCCAGGACGGAGCTCCGAGGAACTCCAAAGGAGACTGGCGCTGGAGAGGAGAAAGTCGAGCCTGTTCTCACTCGGAATGATCTGTCTGATAGAAACGCCTTGATCCAGTGAAAAATTTTCCCTTGAATCCCGCAAGGCTCGAGTTTCTGGAGCAGCGGGACGTGCGGGACCCTTCAAATGCCTTTTGAGAATTCAAAAAATATGGCACGCGATATGAGTCCTTCGTTCATAGCTTGGGCTAAGCTGTCCATAAACACGAGCATGTTTGTCACGCAAGAGTGGTTTGGGAGAAATCCGTGTTGAGCTGGAGATGTCAGGTTGCTGGAAGTAAGGTAATCTAGGATAGCGTTCCATCGCCTTGCACGGCACGCTAGTGAGGGCCTATAGCCGACAGGCGATAGTCGGACACCAGTTTTGTGGATTGGCTCGACAATCGTTTCCTTCCATGCAGAAGGACACCACGGCGAAGCATTTCGATTACCGTTCACATTAGAGCCGCTTATTTTTCACAAAAGGGCATATCGTCTGACATTCGATTGCCATGCTATCTGTGATCTGGTAGGTGTGACTCCTGGGAAAGGTGGGAACAACTTTGTTTGCTGTGCGGCATATATCGCCGCGGTGTTCCTCTAACGTCAACACGAGAACCCGTCGCCCACACGAAGCTTCGCTAGGGCCAATGGCATATCAACTACCACAAAAAATAATCTTCCACTTGCGCAAGAAACCCGGTGGACAATCCCGGCGGCGGATGTAGATGTCTTAAGAGATGAGGACCTCGCAGGTTTCACTGGCTACAAATTATGGAACCCCACACCACAGTGTTCCATATTTCAGGAGACCAATACATGTGCCCAGCTTTTCTTCGGCCAGCAGTTGGCCACACTTCGTGATTGTCAGGAACATGGTAGGAGATGACTGACTAATGGTCATGCAGCCCTCTTTATTAAAACCAGACCGGACAACCGGTGCTTCGCGTTTGTCGCACAGAACCGTGTTTAATTGACCTACATGACAGCTATCCCCGCTCCAGCGCCTGCTACCGGAAAAGGCTCACTGACAAGGAACACCATAGGTTCACCTCAAACGAGCGATTATGTGTGACTACGGCTGCTTTGCTTTGTCACGGGTAGTTTGCCCGTGGTCTTCAACATGACGGCACGGACTTTCGGTCAGACAGAAACAACCCGTTTCCCTCGTGACCTCCGGGTTTGGTCGCTTCTTCGACTAGCTTTTCGTGTCGGGCACTCGCTTTCCCTGTGACCACGTCGATTGCGAACTAAATATTTGGGCTTGCTATAAGGACACTGTAATGAGAAAACGATATCTTCGAGTGACGCGTAACACCAGAATTTCCGGGATGGCAAGACAAAGTCGGAGCTAGGTATCTATCGGTACTATTGATTGGAGACATAAATTCACAAATCATACAAACCTCGACAGTAGACACTCGTTCAAAGCAGACGGTCCACTTGGACCGCAAAAGTACGAACCAAATGAGCAAACAGGTGCAACGTGGTACAGCCACACGTACAGTCACGTCGCTTGCTATTCGCACAATGAGATTGATTTCTCGAAATCTACGGCATTTTCAGACTTGCCACTTCATAGTGTAGAATGTCTATGTATAATGTATACGCTTCTGTATTATTGAAAACCCTTAACTATGGCAATTTGTTTAAGTGAACTAAATCCCCAGGTGAATAAATACCGCCGACTTTGAGAATACCTTAACGGATGAAAAAAATCGCGAATTGTGGAAAAGGTTGACTCACATACAATGAACGTAACTTTCAGGTATTTCTCCACCGGAACAGATTTCCTCAACATTCTATAATCTAAATGGCCTTTGGAGGTGCACCATATGCGTAGGCGCATTCGTGCAAACAAATTTTGGNGCATCTAGCCGCTGGCTACAGTCACACATATTGCTGGATAACCTCAAGACCAAACGAGTTATGTGGTAAGGACAAACAAAAGACAGTTCATACGCATGCACAAAACACAAAAATGGATCGGAGGTTACAAATAGGGGCAGAATAAAAGTGAGAAATTTTACATTTCAACGTAAGGGACCATACAGACACAAATGTACGAAATGCCATCCGCCAGGTTGCCAGCATACCGACCGAATTTGCTATCACAGGAGGTTGTCTCGAAGCCGGGCTAGCAATATTGAAAGCAAGGTTGGATACTGGTATCTCCAAACTGGCTGTGTTGTGACTGAGATACAAGAGGCACCCTGATAACATTTCCTGAATGAGGCTGAAGGCCCGAATATAGATCTAACATCAGGAGAGTTTGAAACACAGATAGGGAACTTGCGTAAACAAGAAGTACCGCCCGGCAACATGCTTCCTCTGAACGCAAAATGCTGTGATGATGACGAGCGTCGTTTACACGTGTTCAGTGACGAGTAAGTGTACACGAACGTTCTGTGCCTACCCCGAGTGGGTGCCGATGTGTCACTCGAAGATCCCCTCTCATCAGGCAACCAAGTAATTAAAAATGTCATATTGCCAACATCCTTTAGTAATATGGTTCAGTACTATTTATTGTTTCGAAGAATCGGCTGGCTCATGTCGAGTTACGCGTGAAACCACTAAGACTGGTTCGTTCAAACAGAGTTTTATCATCAACTGTAATGTTACGGATACAGAAAAAACAAAGAAATTGCGCAGCCCTCAAGTAAAGGGATTACTCCGGTTTCCATTTCACCTGTCAAGGAATAGCTAATTCCAAATGAGATCCTGTAAAATAGCCGGTTAAATTACGTCCATACAAAGTTCGCAATTACCCCTTGAACAGTGGTATTAGAGTTTACGATACCCATATGGCTGGTTGAACTAGACTTGCGATGACAAGTTCAAATAGTGTTCAGGTTTTAGATAAAAAAGAAAGTTGGTATAGGGGAAAATAAGGGTAACAAAAGGATAAATTACGCTTTCCTCGATAAAAATTAGCAGATCCTTGGAATACAAGACATTATATGGATTACGACCTCAATTGCGATAGCTTTTCATAAATTTCCGTAACACACCCAAAGACGGGCCCCCAAACGAGCGATAGAGAAACTTTTGTGTCAAAAGCGAAACGTTGCCCAGCAATAAATCTACCGATTGTCACCAAACTTTTTCGAAAATAGAGAATCTTGCTGAACCCGGAGTTCGGGAAACGTTCCGTTATGTAACGCGTTACAATTGGCCTCCTCGACGGGCTGCAACTAGGATGAGGCAACCCTAGCTAATCGAGATGCCGATAACCTTCCTTGTGACATTTCGGAGCACGCACCTGGAAGGCACTGGATCTCATGAAGTCCGAAATTACTGATGTAAACCGCGCCGTCCAGGCCAGCGACAAAACCGCCGGGTAAGATATTTTCAACAGCATTGTAGTTGATTCTCCACTTATTTGTCCACCACTTTCATCCTACACACTTGTCATGAGCAGTTGTTGGCGCTGGCAGACCTTATCTTCACGTTCAGTCAAGTGCTTCAGCAGCGTCACCTTTACCGCCCACCAACAATCGGGAATTTCCTTGACTATAGAGGAAACTTCTGCTTTATTCTTAGGTTGTTTCTGGGGAATACAGTTGGCTAGACGATGATACAATCTGAGTTTGCAAACTTTTCTATTATCCTTCACTCCCCTAGCTCATGCTGTACAACGGGAGGCCCAGAGGCTTTTGTTTACTACCGGAGGAGTTGATCAGGCCTCTCCCTTCCTCTTCGGCATCAACAGCGCCTTGGGTTGCTAAGTCTGACGAGCCGTGAATTCAAGTATCGAAATCACGTCTAAGATCACCTGTGACAGTTAACTAGAATTTTCTTCAAGTTAGTCTCCAGGGCTTAATTGTGGGATCTGCTTAAATTACTCTCGGCTTTCAAAAGAAGGATGGCATCAAAATTCTTCTCTATGTTCTTTATAATACAATGGAGAAGCGAAGGCTGACAGTTTTTCGTATGGATACACCGGAAAAATTCTGCGCTTTTCCAGACACCTTCGTGTTCAGTTATATGCGAACTTAAATCTGTTGTTTAACTCAACAAGAATACTGTGAACAGGTCCTGGATAACAACAGCAGATATTTAAATCAGAATTTGATCAATATTAGTTGTTTAATGTAGATAGCATTCCTGTATAAAAGAAATGCCGCAGGAAGAAGAAGAGGTTCGCAAGATTGTACTATTTAAATCACGTTCTTCGTAGCCACAGGAATATTTCGAACGATTATGGCCACTGAAGCGCTACGACGAAATCATCAAAGTGCGTTTATTTTAACAAGGAATTAAGTCATATGGAAATCTTCTTCATTTAGAGACTTCCAACACCCACCTTTAGCTGCAGTTCAACGAAAACACTGCCGGTTCTTCCTCCGGTAGTGAAACCAGAGGCACCGTCGTCATTATATGCCGTAGGTGTTCCCAAAAAACTTATCATGAATAAACGCATATTATTTATTAGATGGTGACGCGGAATGCCACCCATCCGCCCTTGATGAATCCATTCACTCTTACTCAAGCGTCGCCATTTAAGGAACAAAAACATTGGCGTCCTCCAAGTCAGTCAATTGGGAACAACTTTTCTCCTGCTGCTGCTGATATATCGCTTAACAAGCTTGCTCGCGTGAGTGATATATCGCATAAAGTAAGCTCCCGTGTCGTTTGCCGAGAAGAACAAGAGAAGGGGTGAGTAATTCTTTCAACCTTAATTGGCTATACACTCATTGTCACAAGCCATAGCAACATGCGTTTTATCCACTTCTCAATGAGCCTGACAGCTTACAGTGTAGGAGTTTCCAAATCACAAATCAACAATTCATGCTTGTGGACGCTTTTTTAAAAAATGATTTGAAAGGGGCTATTTCCCTCCATAAACTGGTGGCGTGAACAAGTACCCTCACAATCCTAGCCAGTGAATGCGCACCATCCGGACCTGCAATTTTTTACGTCTAGCCGCTTTACAGGAAACGATGTCCCATTTTTTAACAAAGGGTTGTCCTGTGAGTTAAACGCGGCGCTATGTTTTAGCCCTGGGGGATTGGCTCCCAAAGTCGCCATCAAAAACTCATCCCAATGAATAAGTTGAGGACTGATGTAATTGGAAGCTCCTGTGGCTATTTGTCCACAATCAATTTTTGAATGGCTTCAACGTCCCTAATGTTTGATCTTCACAAGGGATTTGTATTTCTCTGCCTACGTTCGCCTACAAATAATGCTTATAAGTACCGTTATTTCCACTAGATTACTGAGCTAGCGACGCTTTTTGCCTTGCATTAGACTATAGTCAGTTAAGCAGCCAAACCACTCACAAATCGCATATACTTAATCAGTGAAAACCGCATGTAAATATATGGGGTCCCAATTATAAATTGTAGTTTAGAGTGCAGTACAGTGTGGATAAATCACACTTCATCAGGCGTATGCTCGGGAGAAAGCACAAAAGTGCACACTAAGTTCACTAGTGTGAGACAATTCAATCGTGCATAGATATTCGATAAAATTACTTGGATAGGAACTTGAAAGGTCTGCAGGGGTAAAGTCCCCTTGGCGGCGCTATTTTTCAAATTCTATTGGATCTATGGGGAAGATATGCAGCAATATTGTCCACATTCTCAGTCTTTGTCGGCGGACGTCCCGAAGGAATCTCGATCCTCGGGGTCTCATTGGCAGGATGCTGAATCTTAAGCAGCATACAAATAGCGAAGCTGAATAACAAATGAGAGAGGGCTGCCTTTTCTCGCACTAGTGGACTTGATGAATTCGGGTAAAAGCTTGTTGTTTTCTCGCGCCCGTCCACAGCAGCTCACATAAAGTGCTCTTATAAGGGATATAACTTTGGAAGGAAAACGTATGACAACAAGACACCGCCAAAGTTCCTCACGATCTTCAAAATCAAAATCAGCTCTAAGATACATAAAAGTGAATAACATAAGACGTTTGAAAGGGTAACACCGTTCAAAAACTGGTTTTGAGGAAATATATGTTCAGCGCGTCTTATATGGACAATCTTTATAAAAATTAATCCAAGTATGAGCCTCCTGACAGCAGCATTGGCTTTGGCTCTTTTGGAACATCATTAGCATACGATTCCATAATCCGAAATATATGTTCAGCGCGTCTTATATGGACAATCTTTATAAAAATTAATCCAAGTATGAGCCTCCTGACAGCAGCATTGGCTTTGGCTCTTTTGGAACGTCATTAGCATACGATATCCATAATCCGTTTTACTATTCGTGTTCAAATGGATATGGGCTGCCTTTTGTGCGTTTAAACCGAACGTCTTTTCTATTTAGTCGATTAATTTAATGAAAATTTATTTAAACCATACCATAGAAAGATACTGAAATGGTAGATGACAAATTGAAAGCGAGTCATTTGCAACGTGGTGCTCAAATCGGTGTTAGAGTACCCTGCAGAAAGTCATGTGGGCTAAAGTTGAATATGTACAACCCCCTGTGGATTCTACCAATACAGCCAGTTGACACATTTCGATGTGTTGCTTAAGTCTGAAGCATCTGTCATGAGTCTATTTTTGAGTCTTTGGAAAGCTTGTCGTTTTACGTGCTTGCTGACCTGACACTAAGGAAATGCGTGTTCCTAATCAGCTCAGTCTTATTATTAAAGCCAGTCAAGAATACCGGATTTACCAGTCCGCATAGTTAAACAAAAAATGGAGCAGTACATCTATCGTGTCACAGAATTTAGGCGGGGCTACTTTGGTTTTGGTCCATTTAGCTTCTTGAATAAAGAACTGTTTTTGTGTTGTGCAACGGAAAGCAGCACAGTAACCTAAACTCAAACGATCAACAGAAAGTACCCACTTTGTCGTTCTTCAAGGGCAGTTATCTAAAACCTATATTTTGTCGCAGTACAGCTGCAAAAGACTCTCACTGATATGGTATTGTACAGTACACAACCAATTGCAAGATGCCTGTAGGTCTCGGTTGATCAGCTGCTTATCCATGTGGCTAAGCAGCCCATTTCCTCATTTTGATCAGTGGTGCTTGGATCAGGATTTGACCTTTATTGTTCCTCTGAATAAGGTTGGTAAATTTTTGAAGTCAACAATCTGTATTATTACTCATAGATGGATTTATTATCTCAAAAAATGCTCACCGCTTGATTGCGTCCTCATTTAAATGGGTCATAAATTTTATGGTTATGGAGAGGTGTTCATTTTGAGTGCAACTTTTATGTCTCCATTCATCTTCATACCTATCAGTTCTTCTGCCATTAAGCAGAAAATCTACTGCGAGTAATGAATTTCCCACACTCTTTTATTTATACTAAACTACGTGTTTGTCAGCGTTACCGTACTAGTTGGCAGATTTTTCCCTCGCAGAGTAACTCAAAACACCTGATTTACGCTGAGATGTCCTTAAGAATAAACTAGAGAACGCTTCAGTATTTATTTAGGCCTAGATTAGCATTTATCCATGAAACTTAGTTATAAGTCAGCTCATCGTTTATACTGTCCCTTTGAAACAAGGGGTCCTAGTCGGCCGATGTCTCCCGAACAACAACTTTTGGAGATGAAAGCCCTTGAGGCAGACAGGGCTGCAGCTCGAGGCCTGCCTTCCGAGAGAGATCTTGAGGTAAGTAGGGGTTGTTAGCTATCATCAGTATTGGAAAATCGTGATAGCCAAGTAAGGTTGTGAATTTTATTGTTGTTTCTGTCTGCAGCTTCATTGCAATGATTAGGGGTCAACTCTAGAAATACTGATGTACTATAGACTTGTCCTATATATAGACTATAGACTCGTCTATAGTCCATAGACTCGTCCTGTTTTTTCATCCAGTGGCCCAAAGTAGCTCTCAATGAAATAAAACCGCAAGCAATAGAATTTTGCTACAACATAGTAGCCGTTCATTGCTGAAATTGTAATTTACGGTAAACATCTATGACATTACCGTCTACGTTCCTCGGTAGAATAAAATACGAAAACTGGTCGCTAAGCTACTGTTAATCCTAGTATGGAGATCATGAATTCCAGCAGCATTTGGCACCGAACTCACCACCACAATTCTGAAGTGGCTAGTACAGCGCCCTCGGACGGGAATCAGCGTCACTGGCTCCGGAGGTCCAATCGAGTATTATTAGGACTACGGAGGGAGATGTTTTATAGCAGGATTATTAAGGTAGCAAGTTGCACCTGGAGATACTGGGCGTTCTCGATCATTTAAGTGTCCATATCCAAGAAGATGTTCTGTGAGTATCTGCTCTGGGACAAGTATGCCATCACAATTTGCAGAAATTTTAAAATCCATAAATTGCGTCCACGGTAGACGTACGTAGATGAAACATTAGACAGATTTACTAAGACCAAGGCTATCTGTATCATCAACCTAGCTTGGAAATAAAACAAATTCTCGTCCCTGAGAGTGTTTTTCCTGTATTGGCGGGACGATGTTCAGGGAACAGCCGTAAATTATTTCATTCCGTGTAGTCATGCGATCCAAAAATAAGAGTAACCTTTATGATTCAACTGAGCAGTGTGTAAAATACCTAATGTGTTACAGGGGTAGTGCGAAAATGATCCTCTGACAAAACAACAAACAAAATTCCACTTTAGAAGTTTGAATTCTGCAGGTTTCAGCACTCTTGAGTTTAACTTAGTAAGATTCAGCGTGGACCATGATGGTAGCCGGATTCGGCAATGGTCGTGACGTCTTACAATACATGGTACTTCGTCGTACGTAACTATCAAAAGTAACCTGTGAGGGATAGACGAGATGAAGCATACCGATAGACGAGAAGCATACCCATAGGTATGCTTTCCCTTCTTCCACCCATGAAATGCTATACAAAAACACACAAACGCCAGCTGGCTGTCCGCTTTACTGGCGCTAGAGTTGATCAGTACGGCATCCCAAAGCAGCTTTTGATGCAACCCCTCGTATGAATAAGGAAAAATCTTGCTTCAGCTAGTCTTCAGGTCCAAGTCAGACGTTGGACCCCCGAAGTGGGTATGCTAATCGACTAGCTGTAGTCCCTTTTTGAGTACAAATCTGGTCGTATCGCATGAGCTTACTCCGGAAAACGTGAAAAAGTTAAATTCACTCAACCCACTATAACAGGCTCTTTACACATAAATTGGTGCTTAACAACGCACTAGATAATGATGCAAGATGATCTTGTAGTACACTCACCAAGCAACCAAAGTAGCATTGGCAGACGAAATGATTTTTTCCGCACAAAACTGGATTAATGAGGTCGATTTATTGTAAAAAACAACTCTGTAAACAAACGATGAGTGGGCTTCGAAATGGATATTTCGTCCTGTATGTAAGATTAACTGATGTTGATAAATCAAGAAGCACTCTACAGCTATTTCGTCGTTATGATAATCATCATCAATACGCCTCTAACAAATCACCAATGCGATTAGAACCCGCGACCTCCCTGCTAGCAGGCTATCAATGGAACACCTAACACTTCGGCCATGAGCTTCTGACTAGTAGTGTAAGAAACTCGCACTTAGGCTATAGTGTCACTTATCCTTCAACTGCGAATTCCACATCACCCGGTAACTTGTTTCCAGAATGTTCGACTGGCGACTTTTCAGCTGTAAGGTCCAACCTTCACGTGAATTATTCTTCCTTATAAGCTACTTACAAGTAGTTCCGAAGGTCGTCCCAGTTTTCTGAGATGCACATCGTCGATCATTCTTATAAGGATTAAACAGTAGTACAGTGCTTATCGGCTTTTCACCACAGATTGCCTTGATTTACGCGACCAGCTCTTGAATGAAGATTCCGAAATTCCCATTCCAACAAACAGACTAGCTAGACAATTTGACAAAGATAGGCTGGAAAAACGAACCAGGATTTATCTCCCACTCAAGAAGGATCACAGCGACCCAGTCATGAGGTCGTGGAACTTATTTTGATGCCTATCTTAACAATGAAGCGGAAAGGGTTCGGTCCTGACAGAGCGATCCATCACAGTCTTCGTTCTGATTTGGACACGCTAAGTCAGCGCGGTGTATTTCGATCGACCGGTGTCCAGGTTCAAGTTTATACCCCCTAAACCCGATAAACCCGAGCCAATTGGTGCGCGTGAGCTTGGGCTCAGGTGATTTCTGCTTGGCCTATTGAAAGGATCGAAATTCAGGTGAAATCCTGCTACTCATGAGTAGACAGAATTCGTCCTAGCTTTTCGCGATCCTCAAGACAAATCTGGCGACTACCAGGCCACGTGAGCCTTGAGTTCTACGAGTCATATCTATGGGACAGAAGTGTTCGTTTCTATAAAAACAGTTCATAACGTATTTCGACCTTAGTGATATCTGCAAGGTGGATTTTGCATTCCACTGCTATCACACATCTACCAGTACATCTTCTCCAACCACAATTTGCCGGCCACGTTGTAAGCGCAGAGTCACATCGAGTGTTTTGAGAACATTTAAAAAGCCACCTGTGTGCTCTTTTCACGAGAATGTTCACGGAAGGATTTACCTTATCCCGTCACACCATGTAATGGGTATTTACACGCAGACGAAGACTTGTCCCAAGCGTGCCTCAATCGACCGGTCCAACCTGAGTAAGCGGTGACTTTTCATCCCGCTGCTCCGTTCATATCAATTCAAAATGGCATGCAGGTACGGTGTGAATTGAGAACAATCTGTGAATATTATTGATCGTCGTCAGGCTCCATAGCTCTTCCAGTTACCCATACGAAGAGCGCCATGATATTGAGAAGCCCTGGGTGGCTCCTCTTCTGGCCTCCCCCAGTGGGCCTGGGTCTATTCCGTTGAACTAGACTGCTCAGCCAGCCGCTATAGCACTCAAATTATCAGCATAACAGATGAAGGGATAAATCCTGGCACCAACTGATATGACTGGTGGCAGTTGAAAGCCGGTGTGACAGACTAATTGTTTGTGGGAGTCAGCGAGACTGATGGATGAGAGCAATGTGTATCAGAATTTGTCAAAGAGGATAGCATTGTCATAGAATCATAAAAGTTACTGATCAAGCAGAACGACCTAGAACAGGAAGACTTATGTGAGATAATATTCAAGATACCAAATATCAAACTTGCTCTATCTCAACTTCTTTTTGACTCAGATCAACATCAAGTCATATCGAGGTAGTTATGCGTGAGCCCCGTTCGTTTTGTTGCTTAGACGATAATGAAAGAAGCCGATTCAAACGGTCCGATTTTGTTTCGATCAGTTGTCACCATGTGGAGAAGTGGAGTTAAGTTGTTCAACGAGAAAGCACTGGACTGAGACAGAGGTACATCTGCCGATGATGATGATGATGATGATGATGATGATGATGATGATGATGATGATGATGATGATGATGATGATGATGATGATGATGATGATGATGATGATGATGATGATGATGATGATGATAAATCTGACTGGGACAACAATTCAAAATAAATATTACGTGGCCGGAATTGATGGAAGCAGGCCTCCAGTGTGGCCCCCTCATTACGTACATAGCCAATCCGTGGTTACAAGGTGTGTATTTCTCACTTTAAAATCCATTAGCCGTAACCCACTTCTATTTGTGACGGATAGCGTAGATTCAGAAATGGGAAACAGTGTTTTTTGGGATGACGGTAGACTGGTAATCGTAATACATGTCCTACCAAACTGGCCCAGGGCCGTAGGAATCGTAGGGATACTCGCCTATTTTGTGGCCACATCATTGCACTGAATATCCGGGAATAATTATTCCACTGATGCTAGGTGTCTTTGTTTTTCCGCATCCGTCCAGCGTTACACATACTATATCAACAAAGGCATCCCGGATGATATGTTAGCCCCTCCACCGGAGCAGTTATGGAAGAAACTGGATGAGTATACTCCAAGAAAGCTCGTTTCTGCGTGGCCAAATCTTGCTTCAGAATTGCGCAGCGAAATACGTACTGATTACAATTATTCATTACGGAAATCCATTGGTGAGTAAGCAAAATTACCTGAGAATTGCACGGCAGTTCTGTGATAACCATTCAGTGCTGCTTTCCTAGAAGTTATCTGTGAGTCCCTAACTAGCTAGTGTTATAGGGGATTAATACAAGGGAATTCCACCCTGGTACATTGATGATCGATCAAGCCTGATGCCTTTTTTTCCTGTCATTGAGGAGATTCTATACTGACGAAGCGTGTCTCGTAATGTTATCGGGATGCGGGTTCCGGCCATTCTTCTCTCTTCCAAAACAAATAGCACAATTCATACCAGTGTGCCTGTGCACAGAAAGTTCAAAGACCTTCACAATCGGGGTTTGTCTTCAGGATGCCATCTGTCAAGCGGCTGACAATTTGCCAAGATATGTTTGATTCCCCTGAACAAGTCATTCCGTCGAGTCTCGAAAGCTGGACAGGTAACACTTACAGAATCAATCCACGCCTTTAGTATGGAGAAATTTACCGACAGTTCACTGACGGTTTAGATTTGCTCCCGTCCTGTGAATTCAGAAAGACAGATTTTGAGTCTTATGGATGCCCCTTGGAAATTTCCCATTCTAAACACATCCAATCGTGCCTCAACTATTATACACGGTTTCGCGTCTAATACCCTGTCTTCCTCGTTACAGTGGATTACATCTTATTGGACCCAGAGGAAAGGAAACGTTTGTTTATTCAATGGTTACCCATTCCTTATCCAAGTTATGTCGTTCGCTCCCCGGTACCATGGCATACCAAAAAGCGTCAGGCTTCCCAATTTTGCCAGCGCAGTCTATTCCTACCTTCGGAGCTCACACTGGAAATCCAGAATATATGGCAAGATGAGTGAGTGCGGCTGATGCTGATTCTGTCAATTAAGTGTGATCAGACATATAACTTAAGATTTTTTTATGTACATGGGCCCAATTCAACCACAGAAGTGGGCGGTTGAATTGAACAGGCCTTGCGCTAATCAGCTGTTAGAGATTCTTATTTCGACTAATCGAGTCTCCATATCCGAGAATTTTCGCAACTCTCACTTCAATGAATTCCGGGAGGCAATTTTTCTTCATGGTAGATAGGAACACCCTCATCTTTAGATACAACAAGAAGTTTATAGAAGGTACTACTACATAGAGGAGTGAAAGCATGTCCGTTGAATACTATTCATGCGGTACATCTACGATTCGTTGACGATCAAGCATCCATACCATAACTCATCTCCATCGAATACTCTATGTTAGCAGTAACAGTTGCGTGATATTGAGGCAGATGGTTCAGTCGAAACGGAACAGGAATAACATGTGTGATATTAGCACGAAAACATAGGATATATTTGAAACGAGAATCTGACGCAGCTTCCAAGAGGAGAAAACCTCGAAACGGAACAGGAATAACATGTGTGATATTAGCACGAAAACATAGGATATATTTGAAACGAGAATCTGACGCAGCTTCCAAGAGGAGAAAACCACGCGCTAATAAACATTCCTGATCTAGTGTCTGTTTTGCTTGTGGGCCTCGACATCTTGTCACTGTTGCTCTGCCAAGCAAAACGCTAGTTGGGCTCTACCGTGCACCTTCACCGCCGAACCCGATGTACTAGGTAGGTATTTCTTGGTCCTTTTTGCACCGCCCCTCGGTCAGAAATTTTTTTCGAAAGCGATGCAAAATAGTACGGATGATGCTAAGACCACTCACAAGTGATGGTGAAAAATAACGGCTTACGATCAATAAGCCATTCGAGGTTTACAATGTAGCCCATGTGCTGAGTAACTCCCAGTAAGAACATAGTAGTTTTGTCTTGGTTGATCTCAGGAAATGCGTAGGGTTAACTAGGCACAATACGAGTTCCTTCAGCTTAACCCAGAACTGACATGAAAAACCAACTTGAAAGGGTACATCGAACCGATGAAGGCACCTACAAAAGACTACCTCTGTTGGTTTAAAATATGAGGTGCAAATCAAGGACTCAGTTTCTGACTTTTTCATCCGAAATTCAAATTATTTGGAAAAAAAGTCGGATAACCAATGAATGAAGTTTGTTAATATGATGAAATCAGTGCAGTTCATAGGTGTCTGTGGTGGTGATAAAACCAATTAGTCGCACTCCGGGGCTCTGGCAACAGGTATAACGTTCCCGATCACTTCCGTGATTCTAGGGTCAATGAGAGAACCAACACAGAAGCCTATCTGCTCCGTCTAGATCAACAGACGCACACATCCAGACAAAAAGCAAATCAGGCTTGGCTTTTTCCATGTAGATGTCATAAACTGCAGACCAGCTATCAGAGAAACATACAGTAGGGTTAGCTAATGACGTACTAAGTAAGGTATGCACATGTTCACAAATGTAACGAGGATGGCTTAGGGACTACCAATACAAAGTATGCGGAATGCCAGTGGACGGAAATAGTATATGCAAGTAAGTGCTTGGATGGATCATTTGACACCGTGGTTGGGATACGTTTTCGCCGCAAGCAGACTATACACCCTCCCGAGTTTCACACCTGACCTGAGAGTGTAACACTATGTGGCAGTTTTACCCCACCGGTTGTTCATTTGTCACATCTTTACTTACTGTTTGGTGGTTATGATTCCGACCTGACGATTATACTTAATGTGGTGACAGGGTCCCATTCTGTCCT